TCCGCATGGATGGCCGCATTTCGGCCATCCTGCCGTTGCGGGCGCGGCAACTGCATGTTTCACTGGTATCCCGTGGGGGCCAGATTTGGCTTGGATGGCCACCCCTGTCGATGGACAGGCGCTGGCATCCAAAGGCGGCGCTCCGAAAAGGGGCAGGAGGACGGGGCTTGGCTTCTCAGCAGGCAGGGTGCTTCTCAGAAGCCCTGGGAGGACTTCTCTGTCGTCCTCCGGGGGGTTCTGTGAATCACTTTTCTTACGAGATAGCCTTGCCCAGTTCCCACCCTGGCCCCTTCGGCGCGACGCCGACATCTCGTAGCCCGCAGCCAGGGTGCCTAAACCTGCTCGTTGGCAGGCCTGACATCCAAACCCTCGCAACGAGGGGACAACTGGGCATGCGAGGAAACTGGTCCGCGTAGTAGATGGCCGGAGCTCGGCCATCCTGCCGTTGCGGGCGCGGCAGCTGTCTGCCAGTCCTGGCATTCCGTGGGAACCAGCTTTGGCTTGGATGGCGAGCCCCGTCGGTTGATGGGCGTTGGCATCCACAACCTCGAGCCTAGAGCTAGGATGCCCCCCCCAGTCTCCAGGGGAATCATCGGCATCCTACCCTCACAACGAGGGCATACTTAGGCATCCGAGGAACATGGTCCGCATAGATGGCCGAAGCTCGGCCATCTTGCCGTTGCGGGAGCGGCAACGCAATGCCACTACGTCGAGTGGTACGGGGTTAAGGCGCCCCTTAAGCCATACAGTACCATTTCAAGTCCTCCTTCTCCTCCCCCTCCTCCTCCTCCTCCTCCTCCTCCTCCTGCTCCTCCTCGTCCTCGTCCTCGTCCTCCTCTTCTCCTCTTCTCCTCTTCTCCTCTTCTCCTCTTCTCCTCCTCCTCCCTCCTCCCTCCTCCCTCCTCCCTCCTCCCTCCTCCCTCCCTCCTCCCTCCTCCTCCTCCTCCTCCTCCTCCTCCTCCTCCTTCTCCTCCTCTTCCATCCTCCTCCATCCTCCTCCTCCTCCTCCTCCTCCCTCCTCCTCCTCCTCCTATCCTCCTCCTCCTCCTCCTGCCCCCCCCCTCCTTCGAGAGAGAAGGCACGGGCGTCCTCACGACCTGGCGTGTCGATGGCGGTATATGAGAACCCTGACGACCTTGGGGCGGCGGGCGCGAGGAGGCAGGGCAAGAGACGTGCAGCGAAAGAGCAGAGGGCTGCGTGCAGGGACTGGAGGAGCAAAGGCAGTTTGAGGATGAGGTCGGAGATGGCGGCGTGGCAGTTCCCCGACCCCCCCCCATGAACCCACAAAAAAAACATGCCCTCCCCCCCCTCAGGAGGTTTTTTTGTTTGGGGTGGGGAGCGGTCCTGGGCCCCAGGGGGGGAGAGGTTTGCTAGGGCTTGGGGAGGGGTCTGGGGCGCAAGAATAGAGCACAATGCTATAATCGAACACCCCCCAAAACAAAACCCGAATACCCCCAGTAAAAGGAATTTCGCCACCAAAATCCCACACACCCCTCAGGGAAGGCTTTTCTGGGGGGGGGGGGGGGGGGGGTTTCCCCATCAGAATTCGACCTCAGCGGTTTGGGGAGGCTCATGACATTTTCCTGGTCAGCCTCCAGAAACTCCAGTTAGGGGGAACATTCGCTGGAAAACATTCCCTGGGGGGGATCGGGTGTCTTTGCCCCCAGAACACCTGAAGGGAGGCTTTGGGGGGTTAGGAGTTAGGATAACTTTGTCCCCCGTACCACCCAATTTCAGAGAATTCTTTTTGGCTGGGAAAGTGTGCTTTGGGGGATTTCCCCCCAGGCCCCCTGTTAGGAAGGCTCTTTAGGGGGCAAGTGGGGGTTATCCACCCAGACCCCCCTCCCAGGTTGATTGTCTGTGTTTAAAGGAGGTGGAGGTGGTCTCCCCTCTGGAATCCTCCCTCAGACCTCAGAAGGTGTTTCTTCTAGGGGGGGGAGTTTGAAATTGTTGAGAGGTTTTCCTCCCAGAACCCCTTCCTCGGGGGGGATGGGGATCCCTCGGACCCCTCCTCCTCCTCCTCCTCCTCCTCCCCCTCCTCCTCCTCCTCCTCCTCCTCCTCCTCCTCCTCCTTCCCCTCCCCCTCCTCCCCCCAGGGAGAGGCTTTCGGAGGGACAGGGCGTTTTCCCCGGAAGCCGGGTCGCCATGGAGCGCAGAGGGGCGGCGCGCCGAGGGGCCCAAGTGGCGAGGACGAAAGTCCGCCGCTCCCGCCCCGCGTGGCGGGGGGGGGGGCGGCGGCCCGGGGGGTGTCGATGGCGGGATCGCTACTGGGACCGATAGTGAGGTCGGTACCTCCTCAGCGCCCAAAGGCCGCTGCATGCCGACTTTGTCGCAGGGAGTGCTTTTGTAGAGGGGCTCGACAAATTCGGAAGCTCCTCCCCCCGGACCGTCAGGTGAAGTTCTTGGAGGGGTCGGAGGGGGGTCTGGGGGACTGTTGTCCCTGGAACCCTTCCACAGGAGTGATTTTGAAAGGGTTGGGGGGTTAAGCACGTCTTCCCCCCAGATGCCCCCCCTCAAGGAGGTCTTGAAAAGGTCACGGGGTGGGATGGTCTTGCTTCCGGAGCTCCCCCGCAGGCAGTGTTTTTGGGGGTGAGTGAGGGTTTGGGCTTTGTTCCCCGGAACTCCCCTTTAAGGCGGTTGCTGGGTGGGTGGGTGGGATTTTTCCTCCAGAACCCTCTCTCAAGCGGGGGTGGGTGGGCCGTTCTGGGGGTTAAAGGTTTTCTGCGCCCCCAGACCTCCCACTCTCAGGAGGTACTTGTTTTGCAGGGTTATGGATGGTAAAACAGGGTTGGGGGGTGGGCCAAGGGGCCCTTGGGGCTTTTTCCCCTGTAGCCCTCCCTCAAGTCAAAGCCCCTTTTAACCCTCCCTGATCTCCCAAACCACCCCTGAGGGGCGTCAGGGGGAGTCTTGCAAAAGGGGTTCTGGGAATTGCAACGCCCCTCTGAGGTTGGGAGAGGAAAGGCGGGGATGGGCGAGGAAGAGCGAGAGGAGCAGGAGCGGGAGAAGGGGGTGGAGGAAGAGGAGCGCTGATGGAAGATAAAGGAAAGGGGAAGGCGGAGAGAGAAGAGGGGGAGGAGGACGAGAAGGACAAGGTGAACGGGAGTGAGGGTGATGCTGTGCCCAATCGCAAAGGATCTGCGGCAACCCCACACGACACACTGGCTGCGCCTACCACTGCGAAACTGCGGGGCCCAGATCGCCAAGCAAGCAAGCAAGCGGAAGGAGGGAACGAGAAGCCCGCCTCCTCCTTCCCCTTCTTCTCGTCTTCCTCCTGCTCCCCGAAACCATTTCGGCCGCAGGCGAGCCTCATCCGGACGGGAATTTGGTTCCATCGAGCCCTGCCACATCGTCACCGTGAATCGGGAGATCTTCTTGGAGGAAGGAAAAAAAACGTGAGCATACACTTTTGACGGTCCGCGCGGATTTCCTGGATCTGCGCCGGAACCCCCTCCCTGGCGCACAGAGCGCGCCAGGGGCGGCACCAGAGGCGCCGCCCAGGGGGCGCCAGCGCCGATCCGAGACATCCGCTCGGAACTCCGACACCCTCTGCTTAGGATGCGCATGCCTCTGTGTGGGTTCTCGACTTCTGGCCGCGTCGGCACCGGGTGCTCGTGCCCGGCGACGCCGATCTTCTGCTTTGAGCTCTCGGGGGCGTGCGCCGGGCCCGTCGGCAGGGTACGGGCGCACCTGCCTCCAGTCCCCGCCCTCCTCCCGCTCCTCCGGCTCCTCCCACCCCGTGAACCTCCCGTTCTGGGATCGGCGCGGGAGCCCCTTCCCTGGCGCGCTCTGCGCCGACGAGGGCTTCCAGCGCAGCTCCGAGAAATCCGCGCGGACCCCCGACAGTGTCTGTTTTTGTCATTGCTTGTTCCCCGAACCTCGCTGAAACCTTTTCCGCGGTGAGTGCCCCCCTTCCCGCGCCTGCTTTCTGCGGCCGTCCTCTTCCTCCTTCCACCTCCTGCTGCCGGCTCATCCGTCTACGCCACGCGCCCCGGGCTGCTCGAGCGCGCGGGCGGATCGCCTCTGCCGCGCTGCGACGTAACAGAATGGTTCCCCGATTCTCATCCTTCCGTCCTCGTCCCTCCTGCTCACCCATCCTCCCTGTTCCTCCCCCTGCTCCTCCCTCCCCGTTCCTCCCCGGACCTCCGAAGTCGCGGTTCTTGCGCAGCTTGCGCCCCCCAATGGTCTGGACCCCTTCCCTGGGACCGGATTTTGCATCCCGAAGCTCTTCGGGCGTCGATCCACTCCTGTGGGGCGATCAGTGGTGGGGGGGGGGGCGGGGAAAAACGCGCCCCTCTCGTGCCCCTCTTGGGCCTCAAGGGGCCCATGTGGGGCCCCTTTCGGGCACAAAGACATGCGCCTCTCTTCCCCCCCCCCCCAGGATAGCACCCCCCCGGTGCTCGACCCCGAGCCTTTTCGCGATCCGGGGGCCCCGAAGAGGAGTACCGCAGAAGCGGAGAGCCGCTCTCAAGAGTCCCGCGCTGCGGTTTTTTTCGCCAATCGAAGGGGCGGGGGGGCGGAGGAGGGGGCAAGGGAAGAAGGGGGAGAGGACGAGGGAGACGACGACGATGACGACGACGACAGCCTAGCCCCGTCCGGCTTTCCCTGTCCCCCCCCCCCCCGCGGCATGAGTGCGGAACATGTAGGCTCAAGGCCCCGCAACAAATCCTATCCAAAACCGGCAGCGGCCGCCGTTGGGCAGGCGACCTTCGGTCTCGATTAGACAGCGTCCGCGGCGACACCGACGGCGAGCCCCGTTTAAACTGAGCAGGGAAGGGCCGCCCACCAAGCCACCCCAACCCAACCCGAGGTCGCCGTTGGGCCTGCCAGTTTCAAGTGTGGGGACGTTCAGGGACATCGAGTCAGCACAATCGAACACGTACGCCCCCCGACCTGAAATTCGGGGGGATCGGGGACCTTCGGGTTGGGTTGGCGTGGTTTGATAAGCACTGGGGGAACGCCGCCGGTTTTCGCATCCGTTCTTCCTGTACCGTTTTCTTTTTTTCCTCGCCAGGGCGCAGCTCCCCCTCTCGCTGTGGCCCGGCCCGCGGGCCTCATCGCCGGAACACCGCGGCCTGGGGATGACTGGGCGTTGCTCAACGGGGGGGGATGCATGGGAGGGGGAGGGGGGGACTCGCACCTGTCGTGCCCCCTTGTGGGGCCCCAGGAAATCCTTCGAGGGCCCCTCGAGGGCACAAGGGGTGCACCCTCCTCCCCGCCCCCATGCCCCTGACCTTCCAAAGTGTTGGAATATCGCTCGCAAGACCTGAAGACCGACTTGGACAGCCCAAAACCTCGACAAGAACTTAAACGTCAAGGTACTGGTGTTTTTTTTGGCCCCACAGGAAGGATATGGTTGCCGCGCCCCCGTTGCGCAAAGCCCGAAAGGAAGAGGTAGCGGGGCGCCTGGTGGCCCCTGGCCTGTTGCCCAGCACTTCGCCGAGGCGAAGGGGGCTGCTGGAGCGAGCCTGGGGCGAGTCCCAGAAGTCACCGGCAGAGTTCACTGACGCGACTTAGACGGAGCCTGAGGAGGAATATGCGATACGATACGCACGCTTTCAGCGCCAACCCTGTTCTTGTCGTAGTGAAGATTTACTGTACAACGCATTACAAAGACGCGCAACCGCATGCCCTGCAAACTGAATACCTACGGATGGCAATTAGAGCGGTACGCCTCTGGCTTTAAGACGGAGGTGCATGTGCCATGTTCGATACGAACCAGGGCCGCTGCTAAAACCCGAAAATGGGCCAGCCAAACCCAGGCAGCTACCGACGCATGAAGTGGCCACGAGGCGCCGAGGGAGTCCGAGGAACAGGTCTACTCTGGAAGACTATCTCGACTTTCTGGGTGTCTGGGAGAATCTCACTGGAGGCGAGATACTCCTTGACTGCATGGGCATCCGAGGTCGGGACCAGAGGAAGGGGAGGAAGGAACATTAGCGGAGTGCAGAAATAGGGTGGCCTCAGGCGACCTCAGAAGGGGAGGTTGTGGAGAGGGTGGAAGGTCGCCAAAGAGCGCCCCGCGCTCCTACTGCGCTCCTGTCTACCTCCACTCTGGAAGAAACTGTCGTATTCGACCTGGACCGATGGAGGGGGTGCTTCTAAAGCCTGCAGGTCGTCATCATCATCTCTTACTTAGGGTCTCGAACAACTGCTGAATCCTTCTCTCCATGAAAACTGTTAGGGCCCGCCCGAACTTCCCCTTATCATTCGGGGCCTGGGCGACGGCTGCAATCGCTATGCTCTGGAAGGCGGGGTCCCGAAACGCGACGTTTAGACGGCGCTGCTCCTTCTGGTGCACTTGTCCTGGCGGCAAACTAGAACGAGCTCGAACTTCTGCGCGACTGAGTGCTCCCCGTCCTTTCTGACGTCTGCTTGGGAGGCCCTGGCGCGCTGGGCTCCGACTGCGCATCCGAGACTTGCCAGCGCGCACTCAGTGGGCCCCGCAAGACCCATGCGAAAGTTGGTCCGTGATCTCGCGATTTCCCCCGCTGCTTGACTGCTGTGGCGCGGGCGACGGTCTGTTCGATCATCGCGGCAACGATGGCGCGCATGGCTGGAAGCAGAAACGCGTCGATCACAACGCGCGCGAGGTCCCTGGCCTGCTGGCTGACTTTCAGAAGCTGCTTCATCAGGAGGCACAGTGGCTTGAGAGTGCGGTCTTTCAGCGTATTTTCTAAAGCGGCCGACGTCTCCTCTGCAGCAACTGCGCCTCCCTTCTCCCTCCCGTGCCGTGCTTCTTGCGGCCCGTCTGGGCGCCGTCGCCGTCGTTATCCTTTGCGGGCTTCGCCTCGAGCAACGCCGGCGTCGCGGGGTCGAGGCAGGGGCGTCGGGGCGCGGCGTTCGCGCGGACGCCGACGCGAGGTCGCGCTCAAGTCCCAGACGACGATGTCACCAGGGCACGGCTGGCATTGCTCCATCTGTCGAGCTTCCCGGAGTTCCAAGACGGGGACATGCGCGAGCACCCCTCGAAACATCTGCCTCTGCGGTGTCCATGGGAATTGTTTAGGCGCCTGCGTGCGCTATGAACGTCGCAGGATCGACTCAAGCAGTTTGCGCATTCATTGGTAGTAACGCCGCTATGTAGCATGTCTTTCACTCGGTGCCGATTCGCTAGGCGTTCCAGAGCCCCGTCGAGTTGAACTGGGGGCCGCGCGGGGTGCACAGGGGGGCACCCCATCGGGCATGTGAAGACGCGCTCGCCCGCGGCGTCAGGACAGCGCATTGGAAGACAGAGATCGCCGTGACATAATATGCGAACGCCGCGGCCCTCAGGATCGATGGGGTCGACCTGCAAGAACTCGCGGGGGGCCTCGAAGGCGGGGTCGAAGAACTCTTTCCGCGAGGAACCGCTGCCCTCCCAAAACTTCCAGGAAACTCTGGGCCAAGCTGCTCCCGCGAAGCATCTCGAGTTTCTTGTCAAAGAATCTCGCCCGCGGGTCGGCCGCGACGCCGAGCAGCCCGCTCTCCCGCGCAGAGGGGGCGTCGTCCGAGAGGTGGCCGGCGATCGGCGAAACAATTTAGAAGCGCGCGCGGCGGCGCAGCAACGCGCCCCGCAACCGCTCGACACTTCGCGCCGCCAGCTTCCCGCGAGCAAGGAGAATCCGCCATCTGCGCAGAAAATCTGAATGGCGCCCCGCGCAAGCGCGACCGCCAGCGCGGGGCGCGGCGACGCCCGGCCCCTCGCGCGAATCGACGCGCCCACATTCCCAAGGCACAAAAGACAAATGCCCCCAGTCCCGACGCGCCACTCTCCACGATTTTACCCAACGACAAATCGCGCTTCAAGCAATATAAACCTCGCTCGCGCCAGCGTTGGCCGGCTGCCGACCGGCCAGCATGGGTGGCGCGCAGGCGAAACTCTCGCTCGGCGGCGTAGGAGCCGCGCGCGTGGCGCCTCGCACCCGGACGCCGGGCGCGCGCTCGCGCTGCGCCGCGGCGCCTGGGGCAGCTCTCCTGGAGACGTCGATTCCACATATTTGATCCCAAACACGGTCTGAATTCTTTCTTCGGCGCGTGTTGTGCGATGCGCCATTTGTCCAAGACGTCGCTCATTTGCTGTCTCCGAGTCGACTTGCCCCCCGGGCCCCTGCGCCCGGGCGATCCCCCAGCAGTCGGCGCCGAAAAAAATCGCCCGCGAGCCCGGCCGTGGAGCAGTCCAAGGCGGGGTCGCGAAGGCGCCGCGGATGTTGGCGGGGCCCCGTCAGCCTCCTGGATCTCTGAATCGAATTTGTCGGAGCCGCCGGCGACTTGTCGCGACGTCTCGCAGGGGCCTCGGAGCCCCCTAGTCCCACTAATAAAAGCATCGAACTTGCCATCTACTGGGTGCCCGACTACGCCGTCGACGAGGCGCGGGCGAGCATGGCCCATCAAATCCTCGCGGGCCACGCTCTGAGACTGCGCGCGCAGATCGCTGGGGGCGGGCGCGTGAGGGCGTTGGCCACGCCGCGCAGCTCGCGCGGATTCGGAGCCCCAGCCATTCTGAGAGACTGGCCCAGTCGCCGCGGCACTCGCATTGCCCCCCCCCCCTCCTCCCCCAGCGCTTTAGAAGAACACGCCGCTGTTCAGGAATCGGCGCATCGGAACTCCCCACCATTATCCTCGTGGCTGCATGATACTGCGTGCCGAGATTTCCAGAACACGCCTGGAAGACGCGTTATGTGTTGACTAAAAATTTGCGATTTGCCATAGGACTTGTCTGGCGCCCCCCCCCATCCGCGACGCCGGGGCTTCTTCGGCAGCTGGCCGACCCGAACCGAACAAGTGCCAGCGCCTTCAAAGTCGTCCCGAGCTCGAGCGAGCTGGGCCGACGCCCCGAGCGCGATTGCACGTCCGCCGCGGGGCCGTTGGACCCCCCCCCCACCCACCCCCGCTTTCAAGGTGCCCCCAGAAACTCCCGAATCTCTCCGCCCATGAAATCCAAGGCCAGGTGCCCGCACTCCGCGGATTCAAGTTCGCAGCCGATGCCAGAATTGGGGTTCTTGTGACGCGACAAGCGGCTCGGCTCGAGAATCACCCATGCCGGCTCCGCTGGGGCACTCCATGATGGTCCGCGTCGTCTGCCTTTCTCTTTTCATCATCTGCAAATCAGATTATGCATCATCACGCTCGCGGTGATCCCCGCGCTGAAGGCCCCGAACTCGGCGGCGGCTTCCTTGCTCGAGAAGCCCCTCAGCATCTCGCCGGAGTCGGGGACGCACGCAACGTCCACTCCACACTCTGCCCCCTTAGTGGCAACATGTGCACGCGGTTCATCCAGAGCCGGTCGACATGATGCGATGGCATTGCGCCTGCGATTCTTCGCTCCAATGGAAAGTCTATAAAGAAAACCTGCAAGACTGTGCACTCCAGCTTGTTGCCCAGCAGCTCGAGCTTGCCGTTATTCGTTATGCAACCGCTCGCGATGTACTGTTCCTCGTCGCCCCGCCCGCCGCCTTAGTGGATAAAATGAACGTCGGGGCTTCTGTTCATCCAAGCGCGTGGCATCTTAAATACGGTCGCAGACACACGTCGTGAAATGATGCTGCTGCCTCCGACCGGTACGTCCGCCGTCGCGAGTCGAAGTCGTTCTCGTAGGAAACGTTTCTCAGCTGCGTCGGGGGAAATCTCGACCACGGCAAAACGGCGTTGGGCCACGCGCTCTCTGCGCAAGATCAACCCATGTATCACAATACTTGTTCGGGTGTTCAAAATGCTCCGTGCGCTCAATGAAAGAACTCTCGATGGAAAGCTTCCGCGTCGGCACCCGCCTGGAGAGCAGTGGCCAGCTTCTGGTAGCCCCGGCGGGGTCCCATGGTGTCTGGGGGAACCGCTGAGGACTCACAGATCATGTCCAAAACTACAAACACATGATCTCGTATGATGCCTCCTGGGATTCGCAGCAAAGCTCGCACTGCCCTCCTTGCTACTCGGCAGTGTCTGACACCTGGTCCAAATTGGCTGGTCGAGCAAGGCTGCCCAACATTGACTTCGCTCCCTGGGTTTCAGCAAACGTCGGTCCTGATCGCATTGAATAGGTACTGGGAGCCATGGGGTTAAGGTCTAGCAGCATGTTTGAGAACATCTCCACTGACGGACCATGTCTCGTGTGGCAAAACCTCATGTGGTTCTCCCACACAATTCCATAGCCTGAATAAAGATCCATACCTATGATCGGGGTGCTTCGGGCTCGGCATCGTTCGACTCGCTCGCGCACGTATTCCATTGCTGCTTGCGCTTTCGTTATTCGCGTTTTCTTTTTTCTTCCACCTGCATGCGGATTCAAACTTAATCCGGACTTCCCCACGCCGACCTGTACTCTTTGTTCCAATTCCGATCGTGTATACGTATTGCCGTCTACCTCGACATCCTGATATGATACGAATTCGACGATTGCAGATGCTATTTGGTACTCGTCCCTATATGGCACGCGCTGCAGTGGACTTCCGTACGGCGCCCACCGCGTGGTAGTTCTTCCCCTCCCTTTCTCGTATGCGCGTCCCAAGCATCATCTGAATGCCACAGTCAAGCTCGTAGCTGATCTCGCGTGCGCGGCCTGCCGTGCGTACTGATAATGGGTTGTAGAAAAGCAGCGCGATGGAGACTACACCTGATCTGAAACCACTGGCCCCCCGCACTGGCTCGCAACACGCCTCAGTAGCCGAACGTGGCACTTGAGAGGCGCCTGCCTCTGAACGAGGGTCGGCATGGGAAGTCGCCGCCACTGCCAACATCCTTTGGGGTAGGAAATGGCGGCTAGAGGAGGAGGAATAGGAGGAGGAAGAGGAGGAGAAGTGAGAGGCAGGAGGAGGACGAGCTGGAGGAAGGGAAGGGGGATGGCGAAGAATGTGTACATATATGAAGTATATATGCCAGTGAAAATACGGCGTTCATATACGTAGGCGCATATACATATGAATATACATACTTACATCTATACAGGGAGAAAGATATATAGAGAGAGAGAGGGAGAAAGAGAGAGAGAGAGAGAAAGAAACAGACAGACAGACAGAGAAAGAGAGAGGGAGAGAAAAACGAGAGAGAGAGAGAGAGCCACGGGGCTGAGCAGTCTTACGATGTCCCTACGGGAGTGGCTGAAATGGAATTCAGCAGCGCCGATGAATGTTGGCGATTTGAACTCTCACTTCTGACAAGTAATTGTTGTTGACTTCCCACCTCCGGTGCCCATTGTGTTTTGTTCAATTGTACTGCCCCCCCCCCCCCCTGATGCTTCAACGACCCGCCCTTTCGACCTGGCCGTCTGGGCCGGCCCACGCGACCCACCCGTTAGGGTCCGCCCGCATGGCCCGCCCGCCTGTTTCTGCCACTTGTTCTCCTGTTCCGAGCCCCGTCCTGCTAATCCCTTTCGTATTCCATCCATCTTCCTCCCCCTTATCCACTACCTCATCCAAACTTCCCTTGCTTTAGGGGATGCGCCAACTACACGTGGCAGGTAAAGAAGATCTACCCCACGGGAGGTGAAATCGAATACGGCGAGGGTGGGTATCGAGGGTCTGGGATTTACAAGCGAAATTGCACGCGAGAAGATAAGAGCGAACCGTGTTGAACTGATTACTGCTGTTACTGTTGTTGCCGTTGTTGTTCTTGAGCTCTCACAACTGGAGAATGAAAACTGATGGTCCCCCCATCCAGAGCACATGGTATTTATCCCAACCATCCTGTGGTGTTTGGTCCTCGTTCTTATATATAAATTTAAAACGCCCCGCGTCCCACCTCCTCTCCTCTCCTCTCCTCTCTTCCTTTTCCTCCTCCCCCTCCTCCGAGAGATGGAGAGAGCATGGCGGGAGGACGACAAGGAGACATATAAAAGGAACGAGGAGGAGGAGGAGGAGGAGGAGGGGGAGGAGGAAGAGGTGGGAGAGGAGGGGGGGGCTGCGTCCCAGCTCTGCTCTTGCACATCCCACCAATTGTCCTGATCCCGCGTCCTTCCCCAATTCTCCTCCAATCTTCCCCCTTCCCCTCGGTCCTACCATTTCCTCCTCCTCCTCCTCCGCCTCATCATCATCGTCATCATCATCATCACCATCATCGTCATGACCATCATCCTCATCAGCATCATCATCAACATCAGCATCAGCATCATCTGCATGATCCTCATCCTCATCCTCATCATCATCAGCAGCATCCTCCTCATCATCAGTATATGACCTTCATCCTCATCCTCATCATCAGCATCATCACAATCATGATCCTCAGCCTCATCCTCATCATCCTCAGCATCATCATCATCAACAGCATCATCAGCATCATCAACACTATCACCATCAGCATCAACATCATCCTCATCATCCTCATCATCCTCCTCCTCATCATCATCATCAGTATCACCATCAGCATCATCATCACCAGTATCATCAACATCCTGATCATCAGCATCAGCATCATCATCCCTTTTCTCCGCCCTCCTCCTCCTCTTCTCACTCTTCTTCCCTTCTCCCTTCACCGTGGTCGTCGTTGTCGTCTTCCTCCTCCTCCTGCTCCTCCTCCTCCTCCTGCTCCTCCTCCTCCTCCTGCTCCTCCTTCTATTTGTCCCACTCCTGCTCCTCCTCCATTCCCTTTCCTTCCTCTCGCTCCTCCTCCTCCTCCTGCTCCTCCTCCTCCTCCGCCTCCTCCCCCGCCTCCGCCTCCTCCTCCTCCTCCGCTCCCTCCTCCCTCCTCCCTCCCTCTTTCTCCTCCTACTCCTCCTCTTCCGCCTCGTGATCCTCCTCCCTCTTCCCCCACTGGAGGGGGACGGGGAGGGAGAGGAGAGGGAAGAGGAGGAGGAGGATGAGGAGGAGTCGAGGAGGAGGAGAAGAGGAGGAGGAGGAGAAGAGGAGAAGAGGAGACGAGGAGACGAGGAGACGAGGAGGTCGCTGCCGCGCGCGGCCTGCACCCGGCGAGCGCGAGGGCGTGCGGGAGGCGGCGCTCACTCGGGGGCCAGGCAGGCGAGCAACGCGTCCGCGCATGCCGTGTCCAGGCCGAGCGCGGGCGGCGAGAACGCCTGGCTCGGAGGGATTCGAGTTCAGTCGGACCGAGGTACAGGATCGAGGTCGGTTCGGGAAGGGTCCCCCCATGTTCTTTGTGTTTTCGGGATGTTCTTGTGTATGCTGGGGGAATGTACCCTAGGATGTTTTGTGTGTGTGTGTTCGCCCGGCGGAAGGTCTCATGTTCTTGAACGATGTTATTCTGGCCTAGGTCCGACTGTTGAGTGCGCCCTGGGGGTCAGAGTCATTGGATGGGCATGGGTTTTAACTACAGCCGAAACTGCGATGCACCAACTTATATCATGTTCGAAACCTGGGCCATCTTCCCGAATGGCCCTTCAATCAAACCTGAGAACATGTCTATGGCTACCGCCACAGGGACGAACGTGCTGAAGAGAGTGGGCCAGCATCCCAGCAAGTTGGTTAAGACAGGCTGGCACAGCTTGTCTGGAGGAGGTTTATTAATCATATGGTCAGCCGCAGTGGATGGGTAGGAACAAGAGGCAGCCCGACAGCCCGCCCGACGACAACCAAAGGTTACACAGCAGCATAAGCGCCTCCTGGCGTACGCCTGCCACAACCAGGAAATGAAGGCACCCCCGACTGCGCACCACGACACCGGCGTGAACATCATGGACGCGAAGCAGTACCACACAGCCCGCCAGACCGTAGGGGCACTCGAGGGAGGAGCTCAAGGACAGGAGGCCGCACACACCAGGGAGACGACGGCCATGACCACGACGAGCACCAAGAAGCCCAGGACACGCTGCAGGAGCAGACGACAAGGCATGAGGTGCGCACCAGCACGTCACCAACGAGATCGGCGAGACACCAACGACAAGGAAGGAAGGCTACTTCCCAGAAGTCCTCTTCTCGGCGGCGACAGAGGGGGGAAATGAGAAGGCGAAGGCCTTCTCAGAAGGCGGCAGGGCTTCTCAGAAATGTTCCGGCCTTCTGGACCGTTTTTTCGTGTTTGCGGGGAAGACGGAGAAATCTTCTCAAAAGGCCAGGGGCTTCCGAACCTTCTGAAGGCCCGCCATTTCTGACTTCCCCCCCGGGCTCGCCGCCGATCTCCTTTCGCACCATCACCGACAACCCTGACAGCGAGCCTGACCAGATACGCGAGGCCTACAAGGACTGGGCACCAGCGCTGAACCACAAGGATGTCTGTATACCCATCACCAAGGGCGAGCACATTCGCCTCGCGTGAACTCAACCACCACCCAATCCAGCTGCATGGCCCGCCACAGGTTTCTTTGCCTGGGAGAGAGAGCGAGAGAGAGAGAGAGAGCGGACCAACGACCTCATCACGCATCAGTCGTATAAGCAGGGGCAGGACCCAGACTCGCCAGACGGAGCAGACAAGAACCGCCAGACCGAGCATCAGGCATAGATCGGCATCATCGCGGACGCCATCATGTGCGCGCCGCAGATTACGGACATCACGGACCTGGACGAACAGACATCTTCGACATCATGGACCAAGCCATTACGCAAGACAAGACCGTCAACCGACGACCGCCACCGGAAGCCACCGACCGCAACCAAGCAGCGAGCAGCGGCTCCCACGATACCAGCACCAATCTCCCGACCAGCACCAAGCCAATGCATACATATAGATGTATATACTAGAACCATCGCGCGCGCTTCGCGCGCTTTCAGGTTCTAGCAGGCCCCAGGCCTTGACGAATTCACTGCTCCACTGAAGGAGTGGACCACAGTCCCCGCATGCCAATCTGCATTCCGAAAGGCCTTCGAGGAAAATTGTTGTGTAGGGGGGCGGAGGCCGTATGAATCGGGTTCCCAGAAGGCCTTCTGGGAGCATGGGTTTGGGGCGTCTTGGAGAGCCTGTTGGGGCGTGGCGTCGTCGTCGTCGTCGTCGTCGTCGTCGTCGTCGTCGTCGTCGTAATGTCGTCTTCGCCTATTGGGGCGCGCCGTCGTCGTCGTCGTCGTCGTCGTCGTCGTCGTCGTCGTCGTCGTCGTCGTCGTCGTCTTCGTCGTTTCGTCGTCGTCGTCGCCGTCGTCGATTCAAGAGGGCACTTGGTGCAACTTTGTGCGAAACGATCTGCGGAGGGCCGCGAGAAGGCGATCAGTCATGTTCGCAATCAACTTCCCAGACAGCTCTCCTGTAGCATGATGGTACTTCGAAGCCTCCGGAGACTCGCGGGTCCATGATGAACCATGTCCCCGGAAGGCTTTCTGGGGACATGGTTTGTTGGGGTGTGTTGGGGGGTCTCTTGGGCGTTCCCTGAACTTTCGGGCCCATGACGAACCACGTCCCCGGAAGGTTTTCACTTCTTAGGGTGTGTTGGGGGGCCTCTTGGGCGTTCCCTGGGAGCCCCTTGGGGGTCTCTTGGGGCTTCCTGGGGGCCTCTTGGGCGTCTCACGGGTCTTCGTGGGAGCCTCTTGGTGGCCTCCGGGGGCCTACAGGCGGCCTCTAGGGCCAGAGACCTCGAAATATCGGTTGGCGGTCCCCCTCTGGGCCCTCTCTTGGGGAGCTCTTGGGGCACACTTGGGTTGTCTGGGGAGCCTCCTGGGCCGTCTTGGGGTCCTCTTCGGGCCCTCGTGGCCCGTCTTGGAGCGATCTGAAGGGCCTCCGAGCGAGGCCGTGAGGGAGCGCTAGGAAGCGGGGAAAGCGAGAACGCCTAAATCCTTCAAAAACCATCGGAAAATTAGTGAATCTTGCCTCCCTTTAGGGCCCTCTTGGGGAGCCTCTTGAGTCCATCCTGGAGCGTGTTGGAGTCCTCGTCGGCCGACTTCAGGGCAGCTTGGGCGTCTTCGGGGCCCTTTGGGACCGTCTAGGTCCCTCTCGGGACCTCCATTAGCCTGTCGTGGCCTTCTTCGGGGCGGGCCCGGACCGCCTCGGGACCCCTCTGGCCTTTCTTTTGGCGCACTCTTGGGGCACACTTGGGTTGTCTGGGGAGCATCCTGGGCCGTCTTGGGGCGGGGCCTCGTGGGCCTTCTTGGAGTGATCTGAAAGGCCTCCGAGGCCGTGAGGGAGCGCTGGAAAGCGGTAAAAGCGAGAACGCCAAAATCCAAAACACTCGGAGAACGAGTGAATCTTGCCTTCAAGGGCCCTCTTGGGGAGCCTCTTGAGTCCGTCCTGGAGCGTGTTGGAGTCCTCATCGGCTGTCTTGAGGGCATCTTGGGCGACTTCGGGGCCTCGTGGGACCGTCTTGGGCCCTCTCGGGACCCCCTTAGCCTGTCGTGGCCTGCTTCGGGGCGGGCTCGGGCCGCCTCGGGAGCTCTGGACCCCCCCCGGCAACCCTTGGTGGGCACCGATGGGGGGAACAAGCAGCGGCCCGCCCCCCCCGGGCCTACTCCGATAGAGAATCATGTTCCCGGGAAGCTTTCCGGGAGCATGATTTGTTCGGCTCTCTACGAGGGGGGCCTTAAGGGGGCTTACCGAGAGGCGCCTTTTGGCCTTGTCGGCAAGCCTATTGGAAACATGGTTGGGGCGGTGGGCGGAAGCCCAAGGAATCATGTTCCCGGAAAGCTATCTGGGAAATACAATTTACCGAAGTGTCTTGGGGGCCCGCAGGGGGCTTCCCTGCGGGGGCCCCTTGGGGGCCTATTGGGGCTTCCGGGGGGCCTCTTGGGAGCCTCACCGGGCTTCTTGGGAGCCTCTTGATGGCATCCGGGGGCGTCCTAGAAGCCTCTTAGGCCGGAGACCTCGAAATGTCGCGCTCTTCGGGCCCTCTTGGGTCGCTCTTGGGGCTCTCTTGGGGCGCTCTCGAGGCCCTCTTGACTTATCTGGGGAGCCTCCTGGGCCGTCTCTGGGCTTTCTTGGGAGCCACTTCGGCCGTCTTGGAGCAATCTGAAGGGCCTCTGACGCGGTCCGGGACCGTGGGGAGGCGGAACATGGGAGAGCGTAAGAATGCGTCAAAAACCAACGGAAAAAATAAGATGGTCGGCTTCTGGGGCCCTCTGGAGGGGCCTCTGGAGGCGCTCGTGGGGCGTTTTGGCGGCGTCGTCGGCCGTCCTGACGCCATCTTCGGCGTGTCCGGGGCCTCTGGGGGCTGTCTTTGGGCGTCCTGGGAACCCGGAAATCATGTTCCCGGAGAGGCTTCCGGGAACATGATTTCGAACAAGGCTCTCTTGGGCCTCCCTGAGGCCGTCTTATGGGCCTCCTGGGCTGGCTTTGGGGCCTCTTGGGCCGTCTTGGGAGGTTCCGTCAGCCCCACAGGACGACCCTTTTGGGCCGTCTTGGGCCCTCTTGGGTCTCTCTTGGGCTGTCTTGGGGCTCCTCGGGGGCGTCTGGGGCACTGCGAAGACGAAGCCAGCGAGCATGCTGAACATGTACGTTGTATAAAGGAACTGGGCCGATTTTGACCTCTTGAAGGCCCTCTTGGGGCCCTCTTCGGCCATCTTCAAGCCATCTCGGGCCCTCCTGGGCCTTGCTGAGGCTGTCTTGTGGGCCTCTTGGGCGTCCTGGGAACCCGGAAATCATGTTCCCGGAGAGACTTCCTGGAACACATTTTCCAACGAGGCTCTCTTGGGCCTCCCTGAGGCCGTCTTATGGGCCTCCTGGGCCGGCTTTGGGGCCTCTTGGGCCGTCTTGGGAGGTCCCGTCAGCCCCACAGGACGACCCTTTTGGGCCGTCTTGGGCCCTCTTGGGTCTCTCTTGGGCTGTCTTGGGGCTCCTCGGGGGCGTCTGGGGCACTGCGAAGACGAAGCCAGCGAGCATGCTGAACATGTACGTTGTATAAAGGAACTGGGCCGATTTTGACCTCTTGAAGGCCCTCTTGGGGCCCTCTTCGGCCATCTTCAAGCCATCTCGGGCCCTCCTGGGCCTTGCTGAGGCTGTCTTGTGGGCCTCTTGGGCGTCCTGGGAACCCGGAAATCATGTTCCCGGAGAGACTTCCTGGAACACGTTTTCCAACGAGGCCCTCTTGGGCCTCCCTGAGGCCGTCTTGGGGGCATCCTGGGCCGGCTTCGGGGCCTCTTGGGCCGTCTTGGGGGGTCCGTGAGCCCCACAGGCCAAGCCTTTTGGGCCGTCTGGGGCCCTTTTGGGTCTCTCTTGGGCTGTCTTGGGGCTCCTCGGGGGCGTCTGGGGCACTCTGAAGACGAAGCCAGCGAGTTTGCTGAAAATGTACGTTTTACGATGGGAATGGGCCGATGTTTGCCTCTTGAAGGCCCTCTTGGGGCCTTCTTCGGCCATCTTCAACCCATCTCGGGCCCTCTGGGACATCGCTGAGGCTGTCTTGTGGGCCTCTTGGGCGTCCTGGGAGCCCAGAAGTCATGTTCCCAGAAAGGCTTCGGGGAACACGATGTCAAACGAGGCCCTCTTGGGCCTCCCTGAGGCCGTCTAGCTGGGCCGGCTTCGGGGCCTCCTGAGCCGTCTTGGGGGGTTCCGTGAGCCCCTGGGCCCTCTTGGGTCTCTCTTGGGCTGTGTTGGGGCTCCTCGGGGGCGTCTGGGGCACTGTGAAGACGAAGCAAGCGAGGATGCTGAAAATTGACGTTTTACAAACGAGCTGGGCCGATTCTGGCCTCTAGAAAGCCCTCTCGGGGCCTTCTTCGGCCATCTTCAAGCCATCTCGGGCCCTCTGGGGCGTCGCTGAGGCTGTCTTGTGGGCCTCTTGGGCGTCCTCGGAGCCCGGAAATCGTGTTCCCGGAGAGGCTTCAGGGAACATGACTTCGAACGAGGTCCTCTTGGGCCTCCCTAAGGCCGTCTTGGGGGCCTCCTGGGCCGGCTTTGGGGCTTCATGGGCCGTCTCGGGGGGGTCCGTGAGCCCCACAGGCCGACCCTTTTGGGCCGTCTGGGGCCCTCTTGAGACTCTCTTGGGCTGTCTTGGGGCTCCGCGCGGGCGTCTGGGGCACTCTGAAGACGAAGCCAGCGAGTATGCTGAAAATGGACGTTTTACAATGGGAATGGGCAGAATTTTGCCTCTTGAAGGCCCTCTTGGGGCCTTCTTCGGCCATCTTCAAGCCATCTCGGGCCCTCTTGGGGCGCTCTGGGGCGTCTTCGGGGCCTCTTGAGGATTTCTTGACCATCTGTACGGCCCGCGTGGCCTGTCGTGGGCAATTTGGAAGCTGCCCGGGGCAGGCCTGGGGGGTCTGTGACCCCCCAAAGGTTCGGGGGGAAGCCCATGGGGGATGATGGCACCGGTTTGCCCCCCCCCCCCCCCTGGCCTACTCCGATATATATATATTTATATATACACACACACATTACACATGCATGCATACATACATGCATGCATGCATGCATGCATGCATACATACATGCATACATGCATACATGCATACATGCATACATGCATACATGCATACATACAGACAGACAGACAGACAGACAGACAGACAGACAGACAGACAGACAGACAGACAGACAGACAGACAGACAGACAGACAGACAGACATATATACACATACATACATACATACATACATACATACATACATACATACATACATGCATACATACATACATACATACATACATACATACATACATAGATTTGTATATATACTACTCACCAGCTACCTACCCATGCAGTGATGGATGGCTGTGGCGACGACCCCAGCCAAGCAATCGGCCAACTCTGACCCCCACCCCTGTGCTGAATGCAGGACCCGTGGCACGGGCCAGCCTCACCTGGAGGAGCACCAGCATCAATGCAACCTATCTCTCTCCCTCTCTCTCTCTCTCTCCTTCTCTCTCTCTCTCTCTACGCGTCACGCACCGACTTTGTTGTAGCTGCTCTTGCGGAGCTTGACGTTACACACTATCCGACCATTTTTGCTCTACGCGACGGCAGCTCCAACCAGCTGGCTACCACCATCTCATATGCTCCGACTTCTCCACCTACGCCATCCTAATTACGCGCTCACTGCCACCACGGCAGCAGCAGCACCAGCGACCTCCCACCCCAAGTACCTAGCACCGCCGTGGGTTCTACAGCCACCCCAACCACAGCTACCGAGAGGCGAGGGCAGCAGGCAGCAGCAGCCTCAACACCAAGCACCTCCAGGAGCCACCTCCATCCCGCCTCGTCTACTGCATCACCAACTTCCGCAACTGCTGCTCCCTCTCCTACGTGCGCCCCGACTCCACCTCTGGATCCCTGATCTGGCTGTACTTCGTCACCGACCTCCTCTGAGGCACTGAAGACCACCCCCCAACCTACCCCTCCCTCGCCAAGCTTCCCGACCCAACAGACCCTGGCTCCCCCCCCGCCGTTCGCCCGCTAACCTCCACCTCGCCCCAGCCGCCGCCTGAGGCGATGGGGGAGTGTGTCGGAGGCATGTAAAGGGAACCAGGGACACAAAGATAAATATGCACAAAAACCTGGATTCCCCTGATTCGGTTCATATGTTCTGGATGTTCGCCGTCCCCTTCCACTTCCCATATGGTGTCCAATATTTTCCAGGGGATCGACGATTCATTGTGTCTGTGTTTTTCCCCCCTCCTGAATAAGTGGGGACATCAAGAGTACCGATACTGTTAATCCCCGGACCTCTTCCTGGGTGAGTCCTGACCAGGATTTCGAGGCGAATCCAGCGGTGGCGCGAGGGCCTCACAGGAGGCCCAAAAAGGGGAAAACGAGGGAAGCGTAGCGGTTTGGGTACCTCTCCTCCTCTGGGGAGGGCCATGTGGGCCAGCATCGGCCCCGGCCGCCGTAGAAGGTGCAGCCCCCTTGGCGGCCGTGGACCACACGGGGCCTCTACTGGCCACGCAGAAACAACCATCGCCCCCCCACCCCTCGTGTGGTGGTGGCCCCGCTCGGGGCCAGGAGGAGGGAGGAGGAGGAGGGGGAGGAGGAGGAGGAGGAGGAAGAAGAGGAGGAGCTCCAAACACCTGCCCACTGATTCCCACCTCCCGCTGCCCGCCGCCGCGCCTCCCGCCGCTGCCCGCCGCCCGCGCCGCACCCTTCTCTGGGCCTGCCCAGAGCGCCCAGGCCCTCTTGACTGCCGCCCTCCCCGAACATGCCCTCGCCCGCTGCGTCGCCGCGCTGCACCACGCACAAGAACTCCTCACCTACCTCCTGACCTCCGGATGGAAGCCGTGCTCCAGGAGAGGCGATCCGCGGTGGGTCTCGGCGCCCCCCAGGGAGCCGGGGCCCATGCTCGCACCCCCCCCTCCCACGCGCACGCAAGACGGCCACAACAGACAGCCTCTCCCCGCTCCTCTCCCCCCTTCGGGCGCATCATCGGTGAGACTTATCCGTTCCTTATCCTTGCGCATTTCTCTCTTTACCTCTTGGTTTGGTTGCACTTCCCACCGGCGCGTTGGTGGGAGGGATTCGAGGGCATCGGCGCATCGACGCGAACTTGTCCGCAGCTTGGAGGCTTCGAGGAGGAAAAGGAAAAGCGAGAAAGAGGAGGGGGAGAGAATTACAACAGTTCTGCTACATATGCTCTGCATATATGTATACACCTATATACAACATATGTTAGCCAACGTGGGCCCCAAACAATGCGTCCTTGCACTGTGGAGATGAAAGATTTGCGGTCTAGGCTTCTTGGTGACCGCACTGTCGTCAAACGCAACATTCACGCCTGAGCAAGGCTTGTGCTCAGTGCGGGTGGCGGGCGCTCCCTAAGGAGGATAAGGATGACGAGGAGGAGGGGAGATGGGGAGACGAAGGGAAGGAGGGGGACGATGAAGCCGGAGCAGGGGAGGGGGAGGTAGGAGGAGGAGAAGGCAGAGGCCGCGGGTGAAGGATGAGGAGCAGGGGGAACGGAGGAGGACGGTGGTGGAGGACGAGCGGGAGGAGCGTGACGATGCAAGTGGCGTGGAGGAGAAGCCTCGAGCGGAGGCGGAGGCAGAAAACGTGGAGGAGAAGGCGCAGGGAGAGGGAGAGGCGGTAGTAGGCAGGGACGGGCGAGGAGGAGGAGGAGGAGGAGGAGGAATTAAAGTAGCCTGGAAGAGGAGGAGGAGCAGGAGGAGGAGGAGGAGGAAGAGGAGGAGGAGGGGAGGAGGAGGAGGAGGAGGAGGAGGAGGAGGAGGAGGAGGAGGAGGAGGAGGGGAGGAGGAGAGAGAGGAGGAGGAGGAGGAGGAGGAGGGAGGAGGAGGAGGAGGAGGGGGAGGGGCGGGGGCGTGGGCGTGGGGGAGAAGGGGGGGGGTGGCAGAGTAGGCCTGGCGCCCCAGCAGCGAGCCCAGCCGACAGACGCACCTCCTCGCCGCGTCGGCTGCCAAGCCCTCCTGGCAGGACACGCTGTAGGCCAGGGCGCCCGCGAACTCCGCCAGGTGCGGCCGGAACGACTCGGCCCCGACCGCCTTTGGGCATCGCTTGACCGACCCCCATCCCCACTGGCATGGCTTTGGCCCCACCACAGGCCGATCTGCCCCCCTGGATGTGCTGTTCCACTTGGGTTTCGGGGGGCCTGTCCCCAACTGGGAGGGGGGAGGATGGTGGGGCTGAGGTGCCATAGCCTGGTGGGGATGGGGATGGGGATGCGGTGAGGGCATTGGGGGAGGAACCATTGGATAAGGAATCCAGGGTCTGGAAACTGGTGGAAATCCGACCGTGGATTGGCCGTGGACGTCATCGCCGCCCGCATCGGATAAGGGATCCTCCAGGGTCTGACGCCTCCTGGACACGCTCTTACCAAGCGCCCCGACCGCAAGCTGAACGACACCGAGCCTCCGCGATCTCGGGCAGCACGCCCCACAGCGTCGCGAGCAGCACGAGGTGCTTCACGAAGTGCCGCAGCGCCGCGGCGCGCGCCAGGTGCGCCACCAGCTCCTCCAGGCAGGCCCCGGCGGCGCCCCCGCCCTCCGAGGCCCGAGGCCTCCACGCCGCGCAGTGCGCGAGCTCCCGGGCCAGGTAGAGGCAGCCGTCGGTGCGCTCCCACGAGTCCAGGCCCAGGGCCTGTCGGGCGGGTGGTACTGGGTCGGGGATGGGCAGGACCCCCTTTGGCAAACCGTGGCTTCGTGACAACGACCCCAGGCCCAAGCCTGGCGGGCGCAAGCCTTGAAAATGACGGCCGCGGCGCCCTCTCGAGAACCGAAAACGGACCATTCACTCATCGACGTGTCAGGGTGGGGGTTCTGCCCACCCCCGATACTGAAGGGGGGGGTGACCGACACGGGGGAGGAAGCAGAGGGCCCTGAAGGAGTCCTTCAGGGGCCCCTGCTGGCTCCAGAAGGGCCCTCTTCTTCACCCCCCATGCGTGCGCCCCCCCCCCCCCATTGCCATCCGCCCGAGCCTCCTGCTCCTCCCTGGCCTGCATGTAGACAGCGCTCAGGTTCAGCTTCCCCGGCTCCGTCAGCTGCTCGCTGTCCTCCTGGTCCAGGTCGCCGACGGCGCAGCAGTCGATGGCCTCCTGGTCGGAGTGGAGGGTCGCGTCGTTGTCGCGCTCCCGCTTGAGCGCGGCAAGATCCTCCTGGCCGTACTTCTTCCGCTCGTCCGGCACTTTTGACGCTGCAGCCAGCCCCTCCAGGCATAGGCCCTGCACGGCACGCGCCGAAGCATCGCCCGAGAGCTTGACAAGCTGGCCCAGCAAGACAGCGGCCTGCTCTCGCACGGACCACACGGCGTCTGCGAGCAGCGCCGACAGCAGGTGGAGCAGCTTGGGATCGGCGGCTCCGAGATTGAACTTCTCGGGGAAAGCCCGCACGAGGTCGCCAACCGCAACGCACGCGGCCAGCTTCACCTGCCACGCGTCCCTCCGACTGAGCCTCGGCAGCAGCGCCTCGAACAGGGCAGTGGCGTGCGGCGAGACGACCGCGGGGTCGACTCGCGCCGCCAGCTCCCCGATGCACTTGCATGAAGCCTCGCGGGCCTCGCTGTTGGCCACCTTCGTCTGCAGGATGTAGAAGGGCACGATGCTCGGCAGCCACCTCACCACGGCTTCCTTGCCTTCGGCGCCCAGTACCAGCTTCCAGGTCTTCTGCGAGTAGGCGGCCAAGCCGGCAGCGACGTAGTAGCGGTTCACGCACATCCTTGGCAACACCTCGCAAAGGTAGGGCTCCCGCCGCTCAGGGCTCCCCAGTGCGAGCATGAAGCTGCGGAGCGGCACGGAGGCGTCCATGCGGACGTTGGCCCACTCGTCACACACTCCCGCGCACATCCGGGACAGCAGGTCGGTCGACGCGGCCGCCGCGTCCAGCAACGGACCGCCCGCGCCGCCCGCGGCTGCGTCGGCACTCTGCAGGCTTTTCACCACCGCGTCGATGGCGCGGAACGCGGCCCCGCGAACGAAGCGGTTCAGGTGCGCGGTGCAGGACAGGAGCACCTCCAGAGCCTCGCCGTCCCCCGCCACGCAGGGCGCCAGCTCGGGGCCACAGCGCTCGAGGATCAGCCGCAGGCACGCCACGTCTGTCTCGAGGGAGCCCCAGCCAGCGGTGTCGTGGTAGATGGTGGACTGCAGCGAAGACGCGCGGCTCGCCCTGCTGCCTGCCTTGCTTGCCGCTTTCTTGGCCTCGCGGGCGGCCTCGCCTGCCATCAGCTTGTCCGCCAGCGCCTTCGTGGCCTCGTCGTCGTCCAGGAAGGCCTGGCCATCGCGCTCGAGCGACAAGTTTCCCTCGATAGAAGACAGCAGCGGCCCAGCCACCTTGGCGCTGTAAAGTTCCCGGCCGCCGAACTGACACAGCGTCGCCACGATCTCGCCGCTCAGCGTCCGGACTCGAATCTCCTTGTCGCTGAGCAGCGTGAGGCACGGATCCAACCAGCTGCCGCAGTCGAGCGAACACGGCTCGCCCTGTTCACGCAACTTCAAGCACTCCTGCAGCAACAGCAGCCCTCCGTGGCGGCCCTCCCAGCTGCCGTTCCCAAGCAGCGCGACAGCACGCTCCTCCAGGGATCCGCCAGCGACCCAAACCCCTCCACGAGATCAGTGGTTGGGGGGGCCCAGAGCCCATCGTGACGCCCCCACGACGGCTGGGAGCGCCCAACAGGGGGGGCCGCGAGGACGGACGCTCCGGCATCATGTTTCGAGGCACGTGCGCGGACGAGGGCGGGCCGGGGAACGTGTTGAAGAGAAGACGACGGGGCCAGGAAGTCTCGGAGGCACCGTGGCCCCCCACACACACATAGTCCCCACCCCTCCCCGTTCGGCGCCCCGAGCCCTAGCGCGCAGGCCGCGGCTATCGGATCGCGTTCGGCCATCTGGAAGCCCCAGTGTGCCCGCACCAAGGGTCACTCTGGCGAAAGGTCACTCTTACGCGTAGCCCGCTCCTGCGCCGCAGCTCTCTTTCAGCACGTCCCTGGGCCCCTGAGGCAGGTTTCTCGCGGCGGGCCCCTGCTTGATGGCCCAGGGGGGGCCCGAGGAGGGACCCTCAGAGGAAGCGGCGGCGAAGCCTGACGAAGCCACGCCCTGGAGCAGAAGCGAGCATGCCCTGCGAGGAAGAGGCAGGTGAGGAGTATATAAAGCCCTCGTGCTTTCAATGCATTCGTTTTCTTTCTCACATCGTCTTCTATACTCTGAGTTGTTTACACCCTCGGGTTTTCTGATACCCACGCGAGCGTGGCGCCCAATGCTGGTTCCTGTGTTGTTCGTTCCCCTTGTAAGAGGCCCAGGAGGGGGGAGGGAGCACGGGAGAGAGCCGGGAGGCGAGAGACCAGAAGAGGGGAGCGAGGACGGGATGGCGGGAAAAAGGAGGGAGGGCAGAGAGGCGAAGGCAATTAGGAGGGAGGGAGGCAGGGCAAGACAGAAGGAGCCGTGAGAGGAAAGGGTGGAGGAAGTGAGAAGGTTGGGAGAAGCGAGGTAAGAGGGACAGAGGAGGGAGGGGCAGAGAAAGGGAGGAGGGAAGGCTCATGTTGAATCGCCAGTCGTCCGCTCCCATCTTGACGATGGCGAGGGGGAGAAAGAGAGAGAGAGAGAGAGAGAAAGAACCAAAACATGATAGAGAGAACCTAGAGGAACGAGAAGGTAGGAGGACGACGGAAGAATTGGGAAGACATGGTGAGAGGAGGGCTTCCTGAGGACCTCTTCGGGAGCTTCCTGGGGCATCTTGGAACCCTTCCTGGGGGCCTCTGGGGGGGGCCCTCTTGGAAAAGGGGTCTTGGGACCCTTTGAAGGTTTGTTGCAGCCTCTGGGCCTTCTTTATATATATATGTGTATATATATATATATATCTATACACGGGAGAACTGTTATGTTGATGGTTTGATGATGATGGGGGCGAAGCAGCAACAGCCACTTAAACGCGGCCTGGGGGCGCAGAGCTCCCCTGACTCCCGGCGACAGCCGAAGATCTAATGCACACTGCGGTGCTGGTCCTCTGGCCCAGCGTTCGCATCTAAAAGCTGCTTGCACCTGGAGGTCGGAAGGGGTGTGTGGCACGGAAGGGTGTGGTGCCAATCGTGGACATGGCGATGCTGTCTACGATGGACAACCTCGCCAAATCCAGCTTTGGCACCACACCCCTTTGCACCACACCCCTTTCCTACCTCAAGATTGCAGCATCGTCAAGCACCGGGGCACAACGGAAAAAAAGGGAGGACAACCAGAGAGGGAGGAGGCGCGGAGGGAGAGGACCACCAGAGAGTCGAGTCAGTTTCTATGCCGGCGCGCGTACAGCGCCATGGACTCTTCCACCGCCTGGCACGCAAACGCATACTTAGCTGCAAAACAAATGCTGAACACCGGGAGGAAAAGTAGCCGAAACAGTTCAAGGTCGAAACGAAGAAAGGGCGGACGACAGGGCAGAGAACAAGAAGAAGAAGAAGACAAAGGAAGACAGAGAGAGGAGAACACGATCACAGCCACCCGGCTCCCCCTGCACGAATGGAGATAGTGTGTACAGTCGGGCCTACAGCTACGAGAGGTGTCGCCTGTAGAAGAAAGACAAAGGCGTGTTTCTTCCACATGGGCCGTTTGGGCCGTCTGGGAACCTCTTGAGGGTGCTGTGGGGGCCTCCGCGGTTGTGTTGCGGGGCCTTCTTGGGGTCGAACATCTCGGAGCGCCCCTGGGGGCCTCTTAAAGCTTCTTGGAACCATCTTGCGGTGATCTTAGGGTGCTTGTGCCCTCTGGGGGGCCTTTTGGGTGCTTGTTTCGTCTTTCTAGGCGCCTCCAGGGCCCTTCAGAAATTCACCAAAAGCGTGACGATCGGAAATCTGTCCGAATACGAGCCGTGAAAGGAAGCCAACGTTTTTCCACACCTGCTCGGTTCTTTCGGGCGCAGCTTGCGACGCCATTGGAGGGTCCATGGGCCCCTCTTGGGCTGAAGGCACTGTGGAGCCACCTTGGGCTTTGATGGCTCTAAAAGAAGCCTCGGATCGAATTGGCTGAGGGGAGGGGGAGGGGGAGGGGGAGGGGGAGGGGGAGGAGGAGGAGGAGGAGGAGGAGGAGGAGGAGGAGGAGGAGGAGGAGGAGGAGGAGGAGGAGGAGGAGGAGGACCGATCGGGTCGAAGCGGGCCCTGCTTGGGGTCCTCCTGGAGACTCCTGGGGGCCTCGTGCCGATCCCAGAGGCCCTCTGAGGGTCCTCCCGCACGACCTGCGCCGAGTTCTGCCCGCGCAACCGTCGATGATCCTCCCAACGTGTGCTAACATTAAGTCGGGCCTGTCCCCCTACAGGCGGATGTTGGGCGAAAACTTACAAGTACCCCAAAACATCGTCAACACATCGCCCCCCAGACGATGTTTCGACTATGTTTGAACATTCCGCCTGTAGAGGGACGTGCCCGACTTAGTGCCAACGTCAGCGTGTGCTGCCCCACCGAAGAGGCCCGCGAAAATCGACCCCCAGGAAGCGCAAGGAAGGCCGACGCGCGCCGCGTGCAGTCGGTGGACCTGAGTGGTAGGGGAACGAACAATGACAGAAGCATAACAACTCGGAGGTCCGCGCGGAGGAGGAGAAGGAGGAGGAGGAGGAGGAGGAGGAGGAGGAGGAGGAGGAGGAGGAGGAGGACGGCGAGGAGGAGGAGGAGGAGGAGGAGTAGGAGGAGGAGGGGAAGGGAGAGGAGGGAGGAGCAGAGAGCCGCGTGCCCGCTCATAGGGGAACAAGCAATGACGTAAGAACAACAACTTGGAGGTCCGCGCGGATTTCTCTGACACGCGCTGGACACCCCTCCCTGGCGCGCGGAGCGCGCCAGGGGAGGCGCCAGAGGCGCCGCCAGGGGGCCCCAGCGCCGATCCGAGAAGTCCGCGCTGACCTCCCAGTCATTATGTTTATGTCATTGTTCGTTCCCCTAAAGACGGGGTGACACGCACATATGGAGCCAACGCACGTCCTGAGGATCATCGGCCCTGGCGTGGCGGCAGGCGGATCCCAAATGCGGGGGGGGGTGGTCGGAGAATCCCTTCCCCCAATCCCCCTTCGGGGGGACAAGACCCAATTGGAACCCCTAACGGGAACCCCTCCATGAGGATCATCCACACTGGCGTGGCGGTGGGCGGACTCTGGATTCCGGGGGGTATGGGGGGGGGTATCCCTTCCCCCAGCCCCCCTTGGGGGGGACACGCCATAACGGGAACCACTCCGTGAGGTCTTGGGTTAAACCGCCGCGGGAATCAAACAGAACGACAGGGCACAAACGCGGCGTCAGAGGTCCGGCCCCCGCAGGGCTGCCGAGGCCCGACCCAGGGCCCCCCCAAAGCGAACAAGACCTGACCCTCGAGCCTCGAGCCTGGAGCCTGGAGCCTTGAGCCTGGAGCCTCGAGCCCCCTCCTCCTCCTCCTCCTCCTCCTCCTCCTCCTCGCTCCTCCTCCTCGCTCCTCCTCCTCCTCCTTCTCCTCCTCCTCCTGCAGCGGGCGCGGTCCGTCCGCCCGATGCTCCGTGAATCGGAGCCTGCACACCGCAGAGCTCCCCCAAGAGCCACACCCGAACGGCGGCCGCCTCCGTAGGGGGGAGCGGGAACGCCAGCCTGGGCCTGTCCACCACAGATGCCGCAAGAGCCTCGTCGGCGCAGGGGTGCCATGACGAGGGGGGACAGCGCATCGTGCACCCCGAGGCGTGCCCACGGACGAGGGGTGTGGGGGGGGAGGGCTGGGAGCGTGTCAAGGGAGAAGAGGTGGGCCATGGAGTCGGAGAGGATCCCGGCGCACTGGCCACGGCCTTCTTCTTCGACGCCTGGCGGCGTTCGGGTCCAGGCTCGGGCCTCTCCGGCGGCCGTGCTGGAGGGCCCGGGTGCCCCCAAGGATGGCTCCCGGCGAGGCGCCGCTGCTGGAG